TTTAAAGAGTGACAGTACAACAGATGGCCAACCGGGCGAGGGCAACAGAATTCTCGAGACTCGCAGCATTAACGCGTGACGGTCATCGTATGGCGCCTGCAACTTTGTAAGCGTCCGTTGGACTGAACCCGTGAAAAAGAATGTAAAAACTTTAATTCGTATCGGGCAAATAATATAAAGAATAATACGTTAACCTTTGTTTGCTCGTTTCTCGGCATTCTTAAATAATAACCAACTATTTTAAAATTAACGTAGCTGTAACTATGTATATATATTATGGGCGTCCCCCCGTTAGATGGAGTGATGAATATAAATATATTACGTTGATAATGTTAATATAAAAGAGGGGATTATATTTATAAGCTCTCCAAATATAATTTTAAATAATTAAGTTATTATTGATTAAAAATTATGAAAAGTCCGTGACCATTTACATTTTTTAAGATATCAAAGTGAATTTAGACTCGCATAAAATAAAAAACGAGAACAGAAACGAAGCCAATTTTTGTCGTGCTCAGTAAGGTCGGCTACTCTATAATTATACGGTCGACCCGATGTGCACATGCTCTAAACGTCACCGTCTGGACACGAGTTAATAGCAGCCCGTCATTTTGATCCACTCTAATGGGAAACACGACTTGAAAGCAAAAAGTACGCAAATTGTTTTAAATGGGCAGGTAAGCCCACGCCGCCTGACCTACAGACAGCCAGTGATAATAAAAATGGTTAAAAAAAACTTCGAATTTGGGTACCACGGGAATACCTAATAGTGATATAACAAAATGTAATTAAATCCGCTCATACTAAACATTTGGTACAAAGGTAGCGGTTTTTTTTATAGGATAATGGTGACAAACGAGCACACAGTCCACCTGATGGTAAGTGGTTGCTGCGGCCCATAGACATCTACATCTATCCTCGTTTGCGAATCAAAATGCAGATGCGTTGTCACCCGTGAGGACTAAGATGGAATAACTCATTTCCAGTAAAAAGGGCCTCCGGCTACCTGCACTCACCAAGCGAAACGCAGAGGTAAACCTCTACTTCACGCTGGTATTCTGTGAGGTCGTGGTACCACCCCGGTTCGAGCCGGCCCATCCGTGCGACAGCAATTCTGCCGCGTGGCTCTACCACTGTTAAAGCGGTTTACACATTGTACACATCACACTAGGATTTTATCCTGTATCTTGGAATGTCTTACATAGAGTACACAGAAAGCTCTGCGTTCCTGACCCCTCATAAATGTTTAAATTTGGAATGTAATATTTTTTTAAACATAAACTCATATTAATTAAAATAATATTTAGCGGGAAGTCGCGTGTAAATTGTATTTTATCACAAGTTGAAGTTTGTCATCCGTAGAAAAAATTGAATTAACGCGAGATTTTAGGGCGATGCTTAAAGTAATTACATATACATAAATATGTATATATAGTAAGAACCTACAGTTCTACATAAATTCGAGTCAGTATACTTGTCTCGCTTTTTCTAATTTAATTTTCAAATAAGCCAAAAAGGGAAACGTATTGAAAGCAAAGACGTATTAAAAAAGATAGACAGGTTACACACTAACATTATTGTATTTTAAAGTGGCGCAGGTCTTACTATATCTTTGTACAGTTATGACACGTTGCGCTAACAAAAAGAGACAAATGATAGGGTATACCTATCGTTAAAAAAACCGGCCAAGTGCGAGTCGGACTCGCGCACCCAGGGTTCCGAACAAATCCGTAGGTATATAAGTTTAAAATTATTAAAAATATTTTTATTATATGATGTAACTAAAAATTTATGCATTTCGCAATTTTTCCTTTATCTGTGCTATAATACGTTACTTCGAACCAAATTTTAAGATTCTGATTTCACGGGAAGTACCCCGTAGGTTTTGATTCCCTTGCGAATGTCGAAAATTTGCGGCATAAACGGCTGATCTTTTGATTGCATAGGCTTAGAAGTTTGATTTTTTTACAGCTCCAAGGAACAGTAGACTTGAGTATTTGATATGAATTTCAGCTTGATACCTCCACGCGTTCCTGAGAAAAATGGTCTTGACAGACAGACAGACGGACAACAAAGTGATCCTATAAGGGTTCCGTTTTTTCCTTTTGAGGTACGGAACCCTAAAAAGATGAATATACATCATTAGTTGCGTATTGATTGCTGCCGAGGGCTCACTGGCGAGAGCGCGTGACATACCGATATGGAAAATGAACACACTAGCTAGCGTCAAAGTATACACTAATGGTTAGTGTTGAAATAATAAAACCAATTATGAACAAAACATCTATATTCAAAGTATTAATGAGACGTTTTTCTTGTCTCTAACAGTTTTTGTTTTTGTTTATTTAATTATTTTGTATTTCTTTATCTATGCTTATTATTATTCGAGTGATAATGATTACCTACACTACATTGCAAATATTCGTATCACAAACTTTAAAACGCATAGTTAGTGAAGATGAATACTAAATCTTCACAGTCACACGGTACAGGTACACACACTAACGAATTGGATCCCATTTGTAATCTTAATTTTATAAGCTATATATTCTATACGTGGTAGAGCCATGCTGCAGTCATATTAGTATTATAGTTGTAGCCCGAATGGGTCGACTCGACCGGGGAAGGACCACGCTCTCACAGAATACCAGCGTAAAATAGCAGCTTAATACTGCTATGTTTCGTATGGTGAGTGTAGAGAACCGGAGACGCATTTTACTGGAAAAGAGGCATTCCATCTTAGTCCTCACGGGTGACAACGCATCTACATTTTGATTCGCAAACGAGGATAGATGTAGATGTCTATGGGCCACAGCAACCACTTACCATCAGGTGGACTGTGTGCCCGTTTGTCACCCTATCCTATAAAAAGAAAAGCTGATTTACCACTTGCTCAGTGTAAAATAAAACCATCGAGAAAGCTATATCTGCTTGGAAGGAAATATTACGAAATCATGAAGTGAAGGCAGGATCTTATGTAGCATTGCCCTCTGTATACGTTCCGTGAAACGAACCCGTTGTCGAATGGACATACACAAATAAATAAAATATTTCAAAGGTTTACAGTTATTATTCCCTGTGAAACTTATAACAAGTCTAAGGATAATATGGCAGAAATATACCGGCTCAATTTAAGTAGATTTCATAGTGACATTTTTACGATATATTTTAAATTACCACGATAGTGCGAAGTTCCACATTATTCGATCACGTTTTTGTTGTAAAATGGCAGATGAAGCTTTGAATAATGTTCACTGATATAAATAAGTATTGCGAACCGGATCAATCAAAATCCTTAATTTTACTAAGTCATAGACCAAATGAATTTATCGATATCGTTTTTTGTTTCGGTAATGTCACATTAATAGAGGTGTCTATGGAATGGAAAAACGGTAACAACCTTGTAAAAGGAAGAAGGTGAGAATAATATAGACCTTATTTTGTAGCACGTAAAACGTCATATCCATAATGAGTTTAACTACAAGAATACTGTTCTTATTTTAGGATTCCCTCTATGCTAGTAATTATTCTCAGGAGCGACATTTTTCAACATTTTAAAAGTTTATTCTCTTCGCAAGATTGCACTGCTCGGTCCCACTGGTCGAACTCGTTACACTACATGTGTATTTTTTTTACAGAATCAGGATGACAAGCAAGCAAACAGTACACCCGATGGTAAGTGGATGCTGTGGCCCATATACATCTACATCTATTCTTGATTAAGAATGAAAATGCAGATGCGTTGCCACTACTGAGGACTAAGATAGAATGCCTCGGAGGGTCTCCGGTTCTCCACACTCACCATATAGAAGAAACACAGCAACATTGGCCTGCTTTTTTACGCTGGTATCCTGTGAGAGCGTGGTCCTTCCTCTGTCAAGCCGACCCATATCGCCACAACTATAATATAGCTGCAGTTTGGCTCCACCACGTATTTAATTATGACCAGCCCGCTATTACGACATTATTCATTCATTCATTCATTCATTACAGCCTATTAAAAGTAACGAACACGAACGAACCTAGCAACGGTCTCCTCCATAGACTGGCAGATTAGATTGACGCTTGGCAGTCGGGTAGTAAGCCGCAGTTTATTTTTATTTTTTGGTTGTTATTTGCAATAAGCTGCTCCTCGTCTCCTGGCTTATTTCCCTTTCTCGCCTGCTACGACAACCACGAAACGGTATGGGGTAGTGGATATTCTTACACCGCCATTACACGTTAGACGAGTCACGGTATGGTCGAACGTTACTGTGATTTAATACCGATAATGATTAAGCAAGAGAACAAGTTGAACATGTGGATGTAGAAAGTGGTCTCACACTATATTTTTGTCAATAACCTTTTAAATGTATTTCTAGACACATACAATCTCTTGTTCCGTGCAGAACGTGTTCGCGAACCCGCAGCGTTGCAGTCAAACGCTTGGCAACTGCGCTACTAAGCCGTTTATTACATAACATAAACACCCACGCCTGTCACCCAGAGGGGTATGCAGAGACTACGGACTTCCATTTGGCACGATCGTGACACATCTCTCTCGCTTCCTTCACATCCACATACCTACGCATACACGCTCGTCGGTTAAAGGTACTCTTAATTTGGCTCATTTTCAATATATCGCCAATTTGGTCAATAAACTTTCGCCTAGGGCGTCCCTTCCCGACTCTGACGTTCACCATGCCATTCACGTTATTAACAATTTAAAATTAGGACAATAACGAAATTTCCAATACACAACTAAAATACGATGCGAAATTGGGTACTTTAAATACCCACAGTTACGGAACCCGATGCGTTTTGTAAATAGAATCAAGGCGTTTAATAATTACACGTTTCAAAGTAAGGTTATAATAAAATCGCCCCTGGATTAATTAGTCACGTCAAGAACTAAATGGAGTTATAATTCATCGTGTGTTTTTTCCTTACTTTGTTAGAGATGATAAACGATTTAACTCCGCGAGTCTGGAACAAAACGAATTGAACTAAAGTATACTTACAGGTTCCTTGTCACCTTGGTTGTCCTTGCCGAGGCCCTCGCCTTTTGTCCAGCCCATCTTCTCCAACAATTTGAATCCTTTATTTTCTGGTTCTATAAATCTGTCAAGGACAAAAGTGCACCAGTCATAGATTAAAACTATCTTCAAACGTACACTAGGTAAAGTATATTTAGATTATATTTATAAATGCTTTAAGAAGCGTAAATTGAATGTAATATTTTTGACTTTTTGACGTTAGCCTACGTTCAGCAGTAGACTTGTGAAGGACTGTATCGCTGATCATGATGATGATGACACTTGTGTGACATTGGTTATAATATGTATTCGTAAATTGTTCTCTTCATAATTTATAATGTAATAATATCCTCCAGACCAAATTTAGTTTACGGCGGCCGGTCTCAACGGAGACTTAGACACATCTGCACAGATTCACTCTCTATTTGCTCGCTCTCATATTCCGATGGGACGACAACCCAACTCGACCAGTAAGAGATCAGGCGGATGAACAACGTCTCTACTTGCTTTCAGAGGCTCGGAAGTTAGATAACGAGGCATTCTATCTTATTGCTCAGGGGTGATAACGCATCTGTCTTTTGGTTTATAATGGATGATATAGGTGTCTATGGACAATAGTATCCACAGACCATCAGATAGGATGTGTGCACTTATCCACCATACCCAATAAAAAACCTACCTGACTCCGGGCTTTTACTGAGAATTTCTTTACAGAAATACACAGTTTTTTTGTTTTTGTTTGACTCGACCCAGGATCGCACCCGGGGTGCCATGATCAGCAACGAGGTAGAGACAGAGATAAGTTCTCATAATAATTCAAATGAAATCGTTAATAGACAAATAGATGATTCTAGTCTATTCCTATAAGATACCGCCATCTATCGGAGGCAAGAAGATTTTTCTAAGAAATAATACAACCTTAGCTGCATGTGGTTCACCTTGTTTAGATTAACAGACTAACGTGTAGAGAACTAGAACTAGTCTTTTAATAATTGCCTGTCAACTGACTATGACAAATTTCTATAAAAATCCCTTTTTAATATAGATTTTTAATTTAGTTAAAAACTGAGATTTTTGTTACAATTAAGATCCACCGAGTTCCCACACGTTCACGAGAGGATTCGATCAATTTAAAATATGGCCCTTGATCCTAAGGGTCTTCCATACTTACGTGTCTAAATCAGTACTCTGCGTTTTTTCAGCGTGATGCGACGAACCAACAGCTTCTCTTCGTGCCTGAGCCCTGTCGTTGTAGGGCTGTGCTTCTATTGCTAAAGGTTGCTTCGCATATTTGTTCTTTAGACGTGCCAACTCTAACTGGTGTTGCTTTTGGATGCTACAAGTTCGTGTGTAAGCGACTTTTCGCTCCTTTTCTTCCGCTGTAAAGTTCGTTTTCGATTAAATGTGCAGATTGAGCTTTTACGTTAAAAGAGAAAATAAGGAAATAGGTAAAATAGTAATAGTAGCCTAGTAGTAGTATAGTAAAATAGAAGCCAGTAAACGATCCACTGCTGAATAGCTTACGCTGATCCAACTTTTTTTTAAAGCGCTTCTCCACCCTAGATATTATCCTGTATCGCAGTTTGCATACATAAATTGCACAAGGAAATGTCCAGACCCGAAACAATTATTTGTAGACTATACAAATACCTATTCCGTGAGGGAAGCGAACCCGTCGCCCTCAGCGCTGCAGCTCTCTGCGCCATGGAGCTGTCAAAGGACAATGTTAAAACTCGCCTAAGAACCAACATATATTTGACTATTACCAAAATTCTTATCCTTAATTATGCATTACATTACATTCATTAGATAGTAACGGACACTTCTGACTTGTGAAATCAAAATAAAAAGGACTTTTTCGATTTTGAACTTAGTACCTATTTTTAATACTATTGAGCTTCGTGTATGGCCTCCTGTGATTTGGCCAATCGCACAATACCTTCACTCACATATTTCAAAAGTTGTCATAAACTCAAATATATTATGAAAACGTTTATATTTAAAAATATATCTCAGATTAATATATGCCACAAGGAACTGGGGTACAGTGAAATCATCTATTTTCATTTAAAATAACAATACTTTTGTCATCTCATTGGCAAATCAGCATTGTGCCACGCAAAAATAAAGTCAAATACGTTGACAGATGACAACAAGTCAAAATAGATAGACCTCAGACGTGCTATTGTTTTGGTTCCGTTTGAAAAAATACAATTCTCTAAATGTTTTAGGAATCTAAGTGCACTCTGTAGTTGCTTTGTTATGCGATAAGTTTATATAAATTACGAACAACGGCTTGAACAACGGATACGATGTTTCATAAACATAAAACATAACCTCAAAATCTCTATGATAACTGCAAATATCTAAGTTTTCAGAAGTGTCCGTCAGGAGTTATTGTTCTTACATACAATTATGTGTAATTTCGGACTTAAAAAGGTATTTTTTTTCACTGTTGGTTCTTAGGCGAACATTGTATGGACGCAAAACATTGTCCTTTAAATTTGAAATAGAGGAGCCAATAATCTTTTCACAATATATCACAAGTAATATAACATACAGTCAGATATTATACAGATCGCAAAACCCCGGTTTAAGGATACTTCTTAAACCTGTCGATAGCTTTTGACCTAGTGTCGTATCATATTGTTTGGAAAAAAACTTGCCGAATGTAATTTGTCTCCTGATCTCTGGATATCTTCCGCTTTAGATACAATTATCAAACCAATCATGTAAAATGGGCAGATAAGCTTTCTCAACTGATAAGCTGCTCGAGAGACTCAGCAGCACTCAGGGCGGTTGCCATGTGGATGGAAAGTGTGTCAACAACCTAAGTTATACCGACGACGTGGAGTTGCCGAGTCCCTCGGTCAGCGCGCTCAGAAAGTTTACGGGAAGCTGCAAGGCTTATGCGAGTGAACACGGTCTTGTTTATAATATAAATAATATTGGTAAATCCAATTGTGGATGCCCTAAGCGCATTAAAAAAATTACGTATAACATGATTATAGGGATTTTTTTAAATAGTTTAAATACACACAAGTTTTCACAAATAACCTTATTATTAGACTTCCAATTTTCCAATAATTTTATGTCAAACTTCAATTTAAAAAAAAGTTTGGAAAATCCAAGTGTACAACTGATAATGCTCATATGATCATCATATCATCATTCAGGTAACTCCATAAAGTACCAAGACGTATTTAAGTGTAAATATTACATCCTACTTACTTTTAGTACGTACTACTATTATTTATTCTGTACTTTTAAAATATTGTAATAAAAATCTCTGATTATTATAATAATCAAGTATGTATGAAAGAACAATGGCAGAAAAATAGTTGACATAAATTATTGCGTCTAGAAATAAGTTATATATAAAATGAGTTTTATTATTTTTCTATGATTTTTTAAATAAAAATGTATTTTAATTAAAGCTACAGAAAAAAAACAAGCATTTTTGGGAATATCAAATGACTTAAATCATTTTACTCTATTTAAGTGTTGCCATTTACTATATTCATACTATTTTCGTATACACTTTGTAAGACTGCCAACACAACACTCAAACAAAAAATATTTTTGTATTAAAATATTATTAGTAATAACTATACTATCAGTAATAACAAAAATAATAGTGATATGGTTGAACATAAGTCTCTTACAAAAAACTTCCTACAATAATACATTATCTCAATCATAGTACTATGTAACAATTTCATTTAATGTTATCACAACACTAGCTAAAACAAAATGTGACTGTTTTTTTACAGGCTTTACGGCTCTGGGTTCTAGCCCTTCTGAGAATGGAACTGTATGACACAAAGGCCCTGGAGCCATGCCAGAAATATACATTTATAGCATGCAAATATAAAATAGAGATACAATAATCTAAAAACTCTCAATTATGTAGGTAGGTACATTATGTTGAGAATTTATTAAGTTAACATCAAACAACTACAGGATGCATGACTTTTTCCAAGTGTCATAAGACATAACCTAAAAAGGTTCGAATCTAAATATCTTTTTTTTGACGCCTTCTAAGGACAAAATTCTTTGACAGGGTTATTAAGGGACTGACGCTTAACATTTTAAGATATTTTTGAATTAAAATTTCAAAAAGAATTGAAATTTCAAAAAATATCGATATATCGATTTCTTATATTTACGCGAACACTACACATTGAATAAAACTACTTTTACGGATTTTATCGCGTTTAATTAAGTTATTTTATATTCCCGACGTTTCGGTTGCTTTCCAGCAACCGCGGACACGGGGGACTGAGGTGATTGACGTCCCGATGTCAAAGTTAACTCGGAGTACCTTCAGCTTTTTAATTATTAATTTTGGTCCGATCTACGCAGAATGAACTAACTGTGTCTTGAAGTCTTGCAGTGGTATGCTTGGGTTTAGTTTTAATTTTATGAATTACAGGATCCCAAGCAGGTTTTTTTAATTTCAATAGCCTCACGTATCATCCTTGGCAGGAATCGATGTTCTTTCGCGAGAACTAGTGGTTTATCAAATCTAATGTAATAAGCCATCTAGGATATGATCACAAACTGCAGACTTCCCGGAACGTTGGTGCTTCACGTCAGCTATGTGTTCTTTTACGCGGGTTTTTATTGATCGTTTTGTTTGCCCTATATATGAGAGACCACACTCACAATCAAGCTTGTATACTCCTGCATCTTGTAGAGGAATATTGCAATTGACGGATGGTAAGAACTGACTAATCTTCTTCAGCGGCTTGAAGAATGTTCTAATAGAAGCACGCTTCAAGATGTAGCCAATCTTGTCTGTGACACCTCTGACATATGGTAGTACAGCAGGCACACGCTCGACTGTGGCCGGCTGTAGATGACGATATATTGATATATCAATATTTATCACGCGATATATACCCATACTGTTTAAAAATATCGATTCATATATATCGATATATTTTTTCCCTTGTCCATCCCTAGAACTGAGTGAGGCAGTCAGACTGCCGCAGTCTATTTACAAAAAATAAATTAATACAAGGCTGCTAAAACACTGAAAATTTCGACATTTCGTAGCCGAAAAAAATTAATTATAAGTAAACGAAAGAAAATTAATAGCCATTTACATTCCATGGCTTCCCACATGATAGATGAAGATATTAAAAAATAGATGGAGTTAAACAATTAATATTTTCAAAAGTTATCATGTTTACCACTCTATGCGGACTTGATAAATCTACACTATAAGTCACTAAAACCACTTTTTTTATGTAAAAATAGCAATTAAACGATTTAAAAAATATATTAATAAGTTCAACAATCATTTATCTTTCTGACAATGTGCTTTTTATATCATTTATATGTTCAATATGATTGCTAGATACGATTTTAAGCGACAAAACGTTGGAATCTTGATTTTTAGGCATTAGTAGAACATACCTATGCGCTTTGCGTTAGGCATGCAAAAGTAACTTTGTGTTGTTTAAAGCTAATAATAAGAGTCCCACGCACATACCACAGCACTGATTTATCGAGGGTATCACATTTCAAATACTTGGGACACTATTTGACCGAGGATTTGCGTGATGAAATGGACATCGAAAGGAACCGTAGGGCTTTAGCGACATGGAGCAATATGTTGGCACGTAGGTTTGCAAAGAATTGCACGATGCTGTAGTGCCGTTAACATAACTTTATTTAAGGTATACTACCAGTCTTTCTATTCGTGTCATGGGTCAACCTATGGGTCAACTACACAGAAACGGCGCATAAAGCATTTAAGGTGCAATATAACAAGGCGTTTAGTCAATCGCATTAAGTTTACAAAGGCCGTTACTTCAAGGAAAATTATTTTTACAAATATGTTTTTGATTTGCAATATTATAATTTTTTTGTTCACAAGTAAATAAATGTAAGTTTAGGGCTCTGCTGAGGCTGCCCCACTTTTGCAGTGCTTCAGGCATGTTCTGCGAGGCCCGCACCTACGAGTTTGACGTAATAATGCGCAAAAAAGCCGCATCGCTACTAAGCAGAACAAGGAATAGCGCCAACAGTATTCTGGGGCTCACAAAAATATGACTCCTATAATAAAGCTTACCTACAATAAGTCTTACCTGTGTGTGTGTGTGTGTCATTTTACCTCTTCCGTCCACCTAGCTGTATAATTATTACAGCTAGGTGAACTTGTCTGATATGGGTCTCATTTGTTATCCAAAATAAAGACACAAAACACACAAACATTCACGCCTGTCACCCAGAGGGGTAGGCAGAGACTACGGACTTCCATTTGGCGCGATCCTGACAAACATCTCACGACTCCTTTACATCCATATATCTACGCATACACGACCGTCAGTTAAGGGTACTCCTAATCTGGCCCATTTTAAATGTATCG